AAGTAGTTCGTCACTCCTTCTTCCTAGTCTGTCTTCATCTGGAAGCTATTCTGAAACCTGTCTACTATGGGTGACCCTGCTGGTATTTAAAATACCGGTGGCATAGCTTTTAGAATCACAGCAACTCACAAGCCACCACAGTACGACAAACTGACAGACAAGTGGTGGAATAAGTTGGAGAAGAAAACACAAAGATACTGGAAATGATACGTGTGAGCAAGAGTAGTACAGAAAGCTGAAATGGGGAAATTCTTTTCCCATGAACACAAGTGTGAAAGGATTAATGAAAAACCAGAAAAGCAAGCTTAGGTTTGTACAGATATTAACCCTCCTCAAATCCAATTTTACAATTGATTTAATCAAATAATATTCCTTCCTCAAGTGCTTGTCATTCAAGGAATTCTTGCCTTTTTGGTGCTCCCTGACACATTTCCCTGGCTAAGTCATGTTGTTGTTAAGTGCCACCAAGTCGGTTCCAACCCTATAGTGACCCTGTACAGGTTTTTCGAGGAGCAACTGGTGGGTTTGAACTGCCGACCTTGTGGTTAGCAGTCCAGCGCTTATACTTCAGCGTCACACTAGGGCTAAGTCTTAACCCCACTCAAATGGGCGTGGCAGATCAGATGCTCCTGAGGAAAGCTAGGTCATGAGGGCACACAGTGGGAAGCAATATTCCTGACATTGGGAAAATACTTTCGTCTCCAAAGTCTCTATAGATGGACAGATGTGAGTTTCTTTGCAGCAAAATAGTCATTTATAATGTTTAATTTGTCATAAACATAGTAAAACTCCAACAAGATCAACTCAGTGTCACAAAGTAAACCCTGAGGCCAATTTACACCACTAAAGAGTTCCAAGGCTTTTCCCCAGAACAGACACAAAGTCAGATAAATAGTAGTTTTTGTTTTCAGGTGTAAATCCTTAAGAGACTAAGCTCCCTAATAGCAGTGAAAAATTCCATTGTATTTTTCTAAGAACTTTTTGAAATCCCCACATATTTGCCAGTATATCCCCATTTTTAAAACAAACATTGGAATACGTTTGATGAGCACAATACATTTAATCAATAAAGTTAAAAAAATAAGAACAATGAAGTCTACCTTACCAATAGAAGCCAGGTTCCTGAAGGTTTCCTTCATCACATCTCTGTAGAGTTTCCTCTGAGCAAGATCCAACAAAGCCCACTCTTCCTGGGTAAAGTCCACGGCCACATCATCGAACACCACTGAGTCCTAAAACACCCCACATATTCTAGATCAGTGAGGTACCATCTTCCCCAGTGTGTACAATGGACAGGCGAGGCTGTCAGACCAGGGGAATGTCAAATTCACACAAAGATCACACAGGGTTCTGTGTTCCACTCTAGAGTTCAGTGGTCAGTCTCTTCCCTTTTCTATCTACACTTATATCCTGACCCATGATTTTCATAAGTTTAACAGTATTTCTAAAATCCTGAACTGCTGGGAACGATGAGGGTAGAGGACAGCTTCGATTTGCCACTTGACACAGTTCTGGTAAATTGTGGAGTGGTCTGGCAAAACAAGATAGCTCTCAGAAGTTGCTTTCTACCTTCTCTATAGAGTAATCCTAATTTTACTTATAAAAATATATAATTTGGCAATATTCACAGCTTTTCACGATGAGTTCTACAAACCTTAGGAATAACTAGCTTAGCATCAATTGCTTTCAGCCTTGGTGGATTGAATACAAAGAGAAATTGTGTAAATTACTCCCTTTCATTAGAAAACCTAAGTAACTGCATTTGTGAAGCCACAAAAACAGATAGCTTATTAGAGTCAAGCTGACC